GTTTTGCAGGCAGTCTTGATTCTTGCCAACAGGCTGAGGAATTGCCCCCTGCCAGTGGTGTAGTGTAGGTTGCCAGCACCCGGGGCCACATGGGGGATGGGGAGACAGAGTATGCATACGCTTTCAACTGCCTAATGGCATCCACATCACTCAGGTGATTGCAGCCACAGAGAAAAGAAGAATTGTTCAGTTATCTGGAGACTTCCTGGTTCTCCTGGAGTTATTTTTCAATGGAGCGCCGTGACAGAAGTGCACAGCTGTATTGAGGCAGCACCAAAGGTTGAAATTATGCACTCCCTAACAATTTTGCACCAGGGGGCAACTGCCCTGTGGGGCCCCCACAAACATACCACGTCACTGCCTCCCCCCCCCCCATGTGGGGATAAGCAAACTCCTGTTCAGAGAGACGCACACACACACAGAGTGTGCATTTCAGGAGAAGCTGTGTGTTTGAGAGATAGAATGATTCCCAGTGAGATCCACACAAGGGGATCTGTTGGACTCAGAATCCCAGTCTAGACAGGCTTGTGGTTTGTTCCAGCAAAGCAAATCACCCCTCCTTCTAACAGCAAGCTCAGGCGGTGAGTGATGACAGCTCTGAGGCCAAAACGAGGGCAGTGAAAAACAAGAGGGCAGTATCAGCATCCGTGGGGAAAACTACAGCAGTGCTTAAAATAATAATAAAAAAAACAACGACTGGGAAGTGGTGAACAATTCGAAGAGGATTAAGCATGCTCAGGAGCCACAGTCTATTGAGAAAACTGAGGTGGAGGCCAGGAACAGAGGTTTGCATGGTTTGCTGGCTGGAACCCTGGTTAGAAGGGGAGGATACACCAAGGAAGGGTGTTTATTAGCTTCTGGTGGCAAAGAGCTAACCATTCATTGAAACCTCTTTCTGAGCCAGAGTTATCCAACCCCAATCTGGGGAACTGATTCAGAAATCCAGTTCTTCTCCTTCACACAGAAGGTGGCAAGAGTGCGAAGTTTCTAGCGCCTGTGCTTGTGTGACATACAAGGAACTCTCAGAGGCCGAGAGGGCAGCAAGCAGCACCTCCAGAAGGTCAGGAAGGGGCAAGGAGGACCTTCTCAAACTGGGATTCAACCAGGAATATTAACAAGGCGCACTTACTACTATATGCATAGTTTTAGGCTGCGTAAGTAAAGGACCAAAGGTTCCCCAAAACATGGGGCAGCAACTGCATTGGGATTCCCTAATAGGGAATTTTTGGCTCTGACCCTTTGCTACTGCTCCAACAGTACCAGATTCAGGGTGGTGAAGGTGGTCCCCCACATAGGAAGCTGAGCCAAGGGGGCACAAAATAGTAGCAGTAGCAGTTTTAATAATAATAATAATAATAATAATAATAATAATAATAATAATAATAATAGTGCCTAAATTTATTTGGGCACCTACTGATAAGATCCATTAAAAGCAACTGTACCAAACTGAATTATTGAAACTGAAATACTTTATTGTCACTTGTCCAACTTGTATAAAATGAGATTATTGCGAGCTCCCCCCACTCAGCTTTCTTAGCCTTAATTCCCCTCGTTTGCTGGCGCACACCCACCAAACCTGAAAGTCAGTTGCCCTGCTGTTATCTTTTCATTCAGCAGCTTAACAGCCCACGGATAGCACTGTTGGTGCGACTAATCATGCTTCTATATCTTCTGCCTGAGAGCAGGAGATCAAGAAAGCGCCGGCCAGGGTGTGAATCATCCCTGAGAATTTTCCTCCCTCTCCTGAGGCAACCTTCTTCCGTGTTTCATCCAGCGGATTCACGGGTCAGCCCATAATATCTTGTGCTGTATTCACCACCCTCTGTAGGCACTTCCTATCAGGTGATGTCAAACTGGCGTACCACACCATGATACAGTATTAAAGGACACTTTCTATTGTGGACCGGTAGAAGGAGATCATCAGATGTTGATTGACATCGCTCTTCCGCAATACTCTGAGGAGATGGAGTCTCTGTTGGGCTTTCTTAAACACCTGGGTTGTATTGATTTTCCAAGTAAGGTCTTCACTGAGATAAACTCCTAGGAATTTAAAGGAAGAGACTCTCTCCACACAGCCCTCCCCGATGTACAGCAGGGCTAGTTCTCCTCTCTTCCTCCGAAAGAAAATTATTGTGGGAATAAGAAATATTTGGGGGAAGGGGGTGATCAGTTTTTGTCCAGTGTCTTCCCCTGTGCCACAGGCCCACGTACCTTGAGCAGATGAAGTGGCACAGAAAGTGGGCATGGGTGATATCAGAGTTGGGCAGTGGCACAGAGTGAGAGGGAGCCCAGCAGCCACACAGATGAATAATGCCAGGTGCATAGCAGCAGTTATGCCCATGACTGAAGTTTCTAGAAGGCTGATGTGATGCCATCAAGCTTGAAGGGAAAACGTAACACCTTCAGTCCTGGCTTCTTCGTTTTTTGTCCCACCTAAGGGAACATAAAAAGCTGAGCTCTGTATAGCCCAGTGTTGCCTACAATGAGTAGCAGTATCTTAGAATCAGTCAAAAGGCACCGTGAGGATCATCCAGCCCAACTCTCTGCAATGTGGGAAAATGCAGCTGTCCCATACAGGGACTGAACCTGCAACCTTGGCATCATCAGCACCATGTGCTAACCAATGGAGCCATCCGATTAGTGCAGCCGCAGCTCTCCAGGGTTTCAGGCAGATGCCACTGGGGATTCAACCTGGGGCCGCCTGGATGCAAAGTCAGTGTTTGACCACTGAGCTAGGAGTTGACACTTCTTGATGCAGAGGCAAATGTTTTTAGAAAAGCAAGCCTGGGGAGGGGGGTACACTCCCAAAGCATTTCAGTGAGGACTGAGGGTGCTGTGGCCACAGAATGTTATAGTGGGGTATGGCGAAGGTGTGGGGAGTGAATGGAGTAGCATGGAAGAGCAACACTTCAGGCTGCAACGTTCTATCACAGGTCACACCTGTATAGGCAGCAACCAATTAAGGCGCACCCGACTGATGCACGATCACAAACACATGGCTCCTTTTGGACCCAGAAGAGGGCAGAACATGATGGGACATGCTTATGCACACTCTGCCAATGCGTGTAGGGACCAGGAACAGAACCCGAATGCAAAACCTGTATATATTTATATATAAACACACACACACACACACACACACAAATATATATTTACACACCTCACCGTAGCTCAGTGTTGGGGCATTTGCTTTGCATGCAGAACCTGGTTCCAGGTTCAATCCCTGGCAACTCCAGACAGGGCAGGGAGAGATTTCCCGAAATCCTGGAGATGCTGCTAGTCAGTGTAGACAATACTGAAATAGATGGACCAGTGGTCTCACTAGGTATAAGGCAGCTTCCAAGTGTCCATTAAAATACCCAAGGCAGTTTACAATGGTTAACTGAAATAAACCAGGATATGGATGAGAAGCAGCAGGGCTTTTTTCAGCCAGAACTCGCTGGAACTCAGTTCCAGCATCTCTCAAGTGGACACCATTGCTATGTTCAGAGAACAATACAGTGGTATCTCTGCTTACGTTCACCTCGTTACATATCCTTCGGGATATGTATGTGGTAAACACAGTAGTAGTTTTCTGGGTTTCGCCCGCGCGCGCATGCGCAGAAGTGCTCTACGTGCCGTGCACATGCACAGAAGTCCTAAATCGCAGCGCATGCATGCGCAGAAGCAGCACCTCTGGTTGCAAATTCCTCAGGATCCGACCGGAGCTCCGGAATGGATCCCATTCGCAACCAGAGGTACCACTGTAATTCCTTTTGGTGCAGTTTTTTTAGTGGATCCTCTCAGTAGGCATCCATATAAATGTTGTTGTTGTTTTGCACCCCTTCAGCTCAGCACCCTGTGCAGGGAAACCAATCACACCACCCTAAATTCAGCACTTCAGGGTGGCGGAGGCAGAAGAATCAGCACCTGATGTTACGGAAGATGAAAAGGTCGCCCACAAAATGTGCAGCACCTTCTTTGACGAGGACCATACCTTAACCCAGCTCCATTCAATTCAGCTGGATGCAGTTTAGCCATCAGGTACACTTGGTACACGCACATGGGAAGGCAATCTTCCAAGGAAATGGGTTTCAACCTACCTGGAGAAGCATTCTTGTGCTGAAGACTCAACGCTGCTGAGACCTTACAAGGAGACCTTGAAAGCAGCAAGTGTCCTAGCACAGGGGGGGGGGGGGAGAGAAACAGGGCAAGAGGGACCAGAAATACCTAATGAAAGCTTTTGCCCTCCCCTCCAGATGGTTCAGACTATGTCGGCCAAGCCTGATTTGAGCTGTAGTCCAATACATCTGGAAGGTACTCAAGATGCCAAGGTTTTGAAAAGTGAACTCAGTTTGAAATCCAGGAAAGGAAAATTCAGTAAAAAGTAATTTTAAAAGAAGACTTAAAAAAAAAGAGCCAACCCCAGAGTCCAAAGAAGTATAAACTGTACATGACCATTTGCTTTTGGGATTTAACAGCTCAAACACTTATAAATCTTTCCCAAAGACAGGACTCTTATTGAAAAAGCAGTCCCGTTGGCAGCAGAACCAGAAGGATCTAAACAAACAAAATTATACGGACACCCACCTGGCAGATTCTTTTAAGGGTATCCGGCTGTTTCAAAAACATTTGCATGTTGTATAGTCTGATTTGTAAACATGTCTGTAATTACCTGTTTTTTATTTATGTTTTCTTGATGTGGCACTGATCTGTGTATACTTTGTTGACCTATGATCAAGGCAATTAAATATATTCTAACAATATTTCTGTAATTGATATGCCTAACATAAAGAAGTGATGCTATGTCAAACACTGGAAACCAGCCTTCCCCAACTGGGTGCCCTCCAGATGTGGAGGCTGGAGCTGGCTGGCTGCTCAAAACATCTTCCTTAAATATAACCAATTGCATCCTGAGCCAATGGTGGATTTTCTTGGAAATTTTTAAGGGATGTTATTCCAGACTTAGAACTTTCTTGCACTTTTACTTTTCAGAAACAAAACCTACACATACAAGAAAATGCATTAGGCAAACCACACCATTTGAAGTTTATTATCCTTAATGACTACCAAATACAGAGGGCGTTCCAAATACACCAGGAAAGAGTCATTAAGAATTCAGGTGTTGTTTTGAAGGAGGCAAGATAGCCATTTTAAAAGTCAAAGAAGGACAACTTGCTTCCATATTTGGACGTCTGCAACTCGCCTTCAGTTGGTGGGTTTGGTTGTGGTCTTTGCCTAGAATGATAGGGATTCTCAGGCAGTGGCCGGTCAGTCTTCACTTTGGTGACCTGGAAGAAAAAGAATCACATTGAAATGTGTGGTGAGCAGCAAACAGCCTGGAAAGTGTGACAAACAGGAAGCTTTGCAAAAGGAAGCCAGTCCATCCAAATGGTGCTTAGTGCAAACAAACCTATATCAAGGAATCCGAGTATAGAGAGGTGCCTTATTATGTACCAGAAATGGCAAAGCTGGTGCCCAGATGCTGGACTGTTATTTATTTAACTCTATAGTCACTTAGTACAAAAGTCTCTAAGTGACTTTTAAAAGCTTAAGAGCCTATAACGCCCCCAATAAGTAATGTTTTCAGTAAAATCACTGCAGTAACCCAGCAGAAAAAAAGTCAACAAACTAGAAAAACAAGCTATCAGCCTTGTTGTCAAATGTCTGGGAGAAGAGGTAAGTCTTACCCTGGCACAGATGGGAGCCAAAACAGAAAAGACCCTCTGCCATGCTGTCATCCTCCAAAGTTTCTCTGAAGGGGCACCCAAAGGAGGGACTCAAATAAAAACCAAAAGGTCTGGGAGAGAGGTGACCTGAAAAATATTGGGGTCCTGAGCTGTGTGTGAGGTTAAAACCAGCACCTTGATTTGGGCCTAGGCTGCCTGTGCAGCTGTGTCAGAATTGGTGTTCCAAAATCAGCTCATCTTGAACAGCTTTCAAAGGCAGCTTCACTGAAATTGCACCACAACGACCCAATCTTGAGTTTACCAAAGTAGACTGCTTCAGCCAGATTACTGCAGCCCAGACAGCGTCATGGTTAGGCCACCAGCCTAAGCTGGTGGAAGGCACTGTACACCACTGAGGCCACCTGTGCCCCAAGTAACAGAAGTAGATAAAGGAAGAAGCCTGAACTATGGGCCAGGATTGAAGCTGAGAGCCCTTTGTATGCAAAGCATATATCCTACTGCTAAACTGAAGTCCTTCCACTCCATGTCACACACACCCCTCCATGTCCTTCAGTGATCTCCCCGAATAGGAATTAGGAAGTGGTTATTGTAAAGCTCACTTTGACCTGCAGGGAACACACATGGGTGCTTCCAAGACATCAAAATTATGGTTTAAAATAAACCATGGTTTAATGTGGGCAAGCTCCTTCCCCTCTCCTGACTGTGCTACACAGGACAGCAAACCAGCCCTAAACAAGAGAGTCTGGTTTGTTGTTATGTGCAAATTCAGGTTCCTGCAGACTTGCAGTGTGGAGGTAAACAAACTACAAGCGGGAAGCCAAAAACAGACTTTGGTTTCTGCTTTTGGTTTGGAGACAAACTATGAGCCTGTATGAACCTGGGTTTGCACATCAGGGCAAGCTAGACTCCATTTTACTTCATCCCTGCATGGCACAGTCAGAAACAGGAGACAAGGAAAGCACTTCTCTGCACTAAACCACAGCTTATTTTAAACAATGGCATTGAACACGGCTTGTGAACTGGGGTCAGAGACACAATTTGAAGCCCAGAAACCAGCTACCTTGAGAGCCAAATTTTCCATCTTGGCTGAGCCAAGAACAAACTGAAGATGACCAAAGAGAACCCCCCCTGTGTGGATGCTCATCACAATTCTCTACAAGGCAAAACTGCTGAAAAGGCTGGAATTTCTAGATACTGGCCTCAATGCTTGGGGAGCTAGCCCTGAGGAAAGACTGGCCAAGTTTGCAAATCCCTCCTGGGCCAAAATTCAGGATCAGGTGGCAACATTACCATTCAGAAGAGAGGCAAAATGAAAAACCCCTTGCAAGAAGTGACTAGGTTAACACCCAGTGCACGTAAGAAAGAGCCAGCAAACACATTCAGTTACCTTTGACAGCTGTCCCAGATCAGGTCTCACCCAGCCCAACTTATCCAGGACGCAATCATCAAAGACCTGCTGCTGCTTGCGGCACTTGCGAAGTTCTAGCAGGTTATTATAGTCAATGCAAGTCCAGTACTGGGTAAATGGCTCTGCACAATGCAGCTTAAGCTGCCTAGAAACACAAAGATGCTGCATTAATGTTTCCTGAAGTGAAAATGTAGGCAGAGTGATTCTTAAAAGGCACCTTTTTATTTTGCTCACACATGGGTTTGAAGACCACAGCAAGCTATGTGTTCTCTCTGGTTACAGCTGGAGTACCACAAAACTAAGTCATAGTGAAAACAGAAGAACTCTGGCCTGTAATGCCAACTCAGATTGCAAATATTTTCTACATTCGTGCTACTATCCCCATACCATGCAAAATCCCTATGGCAAATAACACAAATATGTTTGTCAATCCAAAACTGAGAACAACAACAGGATAGCATCCAATAAAAAAAAAGTAAACAGTGTTAGTGTTATTGCCTTTCAGTTTTTCTACAAAACTGAAGGAAGAATAGTGGATTCATAAAACTGTATTTCAAGTTCTTACAGCATCTGATACATGACATTTTGGCAATTTAAAATCCAAGTCAGATGTGACCTATCACTGACAGGAACTTTTCAAAATTAGGAAGTTGTTCTTCCCATCACGGAGGGGAAAGGAGCTACAGGGCATGAATGACTCATCAATTAAAGACAATTATGGGTAACCATTTGAACTCACTATAGAATTAGAGGGAAGTTAAAAGAGAAGATATCTGAGAAGAAACGTGTGTGTGTGTTTTAAAGAACACAGCAGTTGTCACAGGCACGATAATTGCCCTAGCAGATTGTAAAAGAAATCTGGATTCAGATCCCTTGCCTTGGATGAACCTGTGTGTCTTTCAGGGTCACTTCAGAGATATGATTTTCCTACAGAGTTAATCTTGGAGCTGGGGAAGCAAGTAGGTTATGAAAAAAGAATAGTTAAAACAGCATCATGTCACTTGCTTATTTTGACATAAGCAAAATTACTTACTCACTCATTTACCGGTTACATTTATACCCTGCCTTTCCATTAAAAAAATCTGTAGGTACCTAACAGCAACAACATTCACAAGATAATTTAACCAATGTCTAATAAGACATGAGCAAAATTTGCTGTAGGGGAAGAGATTCAGTTTTCTTTTGTAATATGAACCTGCAAAGCCTTTGGGAGGCGGGATCTCAAATACTAAAAATGTATTTCTGGCCAAAGGAAGAAGGCAAAATTACTAGAAGGGCATGGGAGTAGTTTTATTTATTTGAAGGATTTTCTTTAGCCCTGCCCTTCAGGCAAAAATAAGCCCCCAAAGATCAGTAATAACAGATGGGCCTTTGGTCTGACTCACCAAGACTCTTCAAATGGCATACCTGAAGAAGTCCATGGCACACTTGTTCACTTCCTTGCCTTCCTTTAAACATTTCCGTGGGTCCTTCTCTTCCCAGCGGCAAAGCATGAACTCCTTGTTGGGCTTGTCACACTGTGAGCCATAATGATGAGCTGCTGCTTTCAGTACAGCTGAGGTTACATTTACCTGAGGAGCAAGCCAGAGAGTTAGTAACAGGCTCGGTGTGTGTCTGGGAATGCATAGGACTCTTACAAGCTCCACGAGAGCCAATTGAATGAAGAATAGACAAACTGCAGGCATGCATTCTGCTTCTCATATATGTAAAATGGGAGTAAGGTCCTGCACTCACAAGAATGCCAAGGGGCAGCACACAATGAAACTTGTGTACTATACACAAACATTACAACACAATATATTTCATTTATTTAACAGAATTTGTATACCACTTAACTGTAAATAAAACCTCAACATGGTTTGCAAAGAATATGAAATATGGATTGAAGTTGTCCATAAAAGTTGAACACAAAACAGGTTTTTTAAAAGCAAGACATAAATAAAAACAACCAGTTAAATATATTAAATATGTATGTTGCAAACTAAGATTAGATATTAAATTACATATCAGCTTTACATCAGTGAAAGTTCTAGCTTAGTCAAGGCACAGGGAGTTCCAGAGTGTAGGAGCTACCACAAGATAATTATGAACACGCATAAAATTAATGGAAATGTATAAATACAATTAATTAAAAAACAGATTTTTAAAATGATATATAGAAGTAATAAGAGGTAATGTTTTATGTAGGATGACACTAATTATTAAGACAATGAGAATCTTTTAATCTTTCTATTTCAAATGATTCCAATACTGGGCGAAGCAGGTTGTCTCAAGATATGGCAAAGAGAAATTTCCAAATTCCTGTGGGAAGGGAAGAAACCTAGGATTAAACACCTGATCTTAATAGACATAAAAGAGAGAGGAGGCTTTTCTCTACCCGACCTAAAACTTTACTGCGAGGCAGCCTGTTTCACCTGGCTAAAAGATTGGTGCACGTTGCAGGATCCCGACCTCCTGGACCTGGAAGGTTTTGACAACCGTTGGGGATGGCACGCCTACCTGATATATGGAAAAGCAAAAATTCATAAAAAATTTACCAACCATATAATAACAAAGTCACTCTTTGCTGTATGCGAAAAATATAAAGACCTGATGGAGCCTAAAGTCCCTCGGTGGACTTCTCCAATAGAAGCCATAGCAGTAAAACAGAAAAATACAGTGGTGCCTCGCAAGACGAAATTAATTCGTTCCGCAAGTTTTTTCTTCTTGCGAGTTTTTCGTCTTGCGAAGCACGGTTTCCCATAGGAATGCATTGAAAATCAATCAATGCGTTCCTATGGAGACCGTCCGGGGACAGAGGGGAAGCGCCGCGCGGCTTCCCCTCTGTCCCCGGACCTGTTTTAAAGCAAGGGGCAGCGGGGAGAAGATTGCTTCTCCCCGTTGCCGCCCCTTGGTTCAAAAGGGGTCTGGGGAGAGAGGGGAAGGCGCGCGCCTTCCCCTCTGTTCCTTCTTTTGAAGCAAGGGGCGGAGGGGAGAAGATCGCTTCTCCCCGTTGCCGCCCCTTGCTTCAAAAGGGGTCCGGGGAGAAAGGGGAAGACGCGCGCGCCTTCCCCTCTGTCCCCTCTTTTGAAGCAAGGGGCGGCAACGGGGAGAAGATCGCTTCTCCCCGTTGCCGCCCCTTGGTTCAAAATGGGTCCGGGGAGAAAGGGGAAGACCCGCGCGCCTTCCCCTCTGTCCCCTCTTTTGAAGCAAGGGGCGGAGGGGAGAAGATCGCTTCTCCCCGTTGCCGCCCCTTGCTTCAAAAGGGGTCCGGGGAGAAAGGGGAAGACCCGCGCGCCTTCCCCTCTGTCCCCTCTTTTGAAGCAAGGGGCGGCAACGGGGAGAAGATCGCTTCTCCCCGTTGCCGCCCCTTGGTTCAAAAGGGGTCCGGGAGATTGCGGAGCTGGCAACGGGGAGAAGCGATCTTCTCCCCGCCGCCCCTTGCTTCAAAAGAGGTCCGGGGACAGCGGAGAAGACGCCAGCATTTTAAAAAACCTCGGGACAGCGGGGAACTTCTCCGCTGTCCGGGGCGATTTTAAAATGCTGGCGGGCGGCAGCGAAGTTTTAAAAAAACCTCTCCGCCCCCCCCCGCCAGGCTTCGGAGCAGCCTTCCGAAGCCTGGCGGCGGGAGGAGGTCTCTCCGCCCCCCCCGCCAGGCTTCGGAGGAGGTCCGAGGACAGCGGTGAAGACGCGCTGCGCTTCCCGCTGTCCCGGAGATTTCCCTATGGGCTTTCGTCTTGCGAAGGAAGCCCATAGGGAAATTCGTTTTGCGAAGCGTCTCCAAAATGGAAAACCCCTTCATCTAGCGGGTTTTCCGTCTTGCGAGGCGTTCATCTTGCGGGGCACCACTGTACTCAGGAAAGCTGGCCAACGTATAAAACACTTCTAAAAAATGAAGATAACCAAATAAAATTAAAAAACTTTGAGGAAATAAGAGAACACATCTCAACTGGTTCCAATACCATCAGTTATTTGAAAGATTTAAATCTGACAAACAAAAGGGGTTCTCAACAGAAATTTCCCGATTTGAATCTGATCTTGTAAATTCTAAAAGAAAAACTATTTCCAAAACTTATCGACTCCTCCTTGACTGGACAGTCAAGGAGGAGGTGGTAACAGTGGCAATGGTGAGGTGGTCCCAGGATTTTGGCCATTCAATAACCATGGCCCAATGGGAAAATTTATGGAAGATCAATTGGAAATTCACAAATTGTTACACAATTAGAGAGAACTTTCAAAAAATGCAACATCGATGGTATGTAACACCATGGAAACTTTCAAAAATGTATAAACATGTGTCAAGTAATTGTTGGAGATGCGGAGACTCAGGAGCATTCTACCATATGTGGTGGGTATGTAGGAAAATACAGGTATTCTGGGAGAGTATCCATGCAGAACTGCAAAAAATGCTAAAGATGTCTTTCAATAAAAAACCAGAGGCCTACCTCCTGGGAATAACAGATTTGTATATTCCACAAAAGAGGAAGGGTATCTTTATATATGCGACGGCGGCAGAAAGAGTTTTGATCGTAGCAAAATGGAAGAGTAATGAAATCCCCTCTATCCAAGATTGGATCCAAAAGCTGACAGAATATGCCAAATTAGATGGTTTATCAGAAAAAATAAAGAATAAATCAAAACAGGAATTTGTTTCAAAATGGGAGGTTTTCAAATAATATCTGAAAAATAAATATAGTAGTTTAAATTCTGTTGCAGCATTTGAGGAACTTCAGTAATAGTTGCAAGGTAGATATATGAAATTAGATTTATTAAGAATAAGTTTAATTATGATAAAAGTGTGTATTGGCAATAAGTAATATGAATTTGAAATATGGAATAGATGGGAGATTGGGTCTTTAGTGTTAAGACCAATAGATGTTTTAATATTTGCTAAGAAAATTATGTGTCTATGGTTATTCTTGTGTGTAATTTGGTATTTGTGTTTTTCTTTCTTTTTTCTTGTTGTATCAATAAAAAACTTTATTAAAACAAAAAAAAAAAAAGAGAATCTGAACGTTCACTTTTAAACATTTTGTGAGAACAAGGGTCAGTATGAATGTGGTAGGAGGGAAAAGATACACATATATGTGTAATATCAAGGTTTTTAATGAGTGGAGTGTATAATCCCCCCAGGGGCTTATGATAAGCAATACAATACACTTAATAAATCACACCCCTCTGTACACAAATGTTTTGCACAAGATTGTGCATCTTATTGACTATCAATGACATCAGCGGCCAAAGTAGTGGGAGGAGAGAAGACTGTCAATCCAGAATATGTAATTTGAATTAAAAAACAAAAGCCAGTTGGCAACAAGGTAGGAGTTTTCATACAATATAACCCTTCACGGATAAGAATCCATATTCTGCCATAGAAATCTACGAGACCCTTTGTTGTCCCTCTGAAAATTATTATTGCATTTATATACAGTAAACTTGCAGTCGACACAGGAGTTGAATCCAGGGATTTTTGCGCCTAAAGCCAAAATTGTGTATAGTCAAAGCACACTGGGTTGAATGGTGGGTGGGCTTGCCAAAGTCTTTTTTCCTGGATTCCCACCCCTTTCCCGCCCCCCTTTTATTTTGTTTTTGTTTTTTTACTTTTTTTGACAAGCATTGCAGGGGTGGACTAGATGACTTTTGGGTTCCTTCCAACTCAGAAGATTCTATGATTCAATGAAGCACATAAAGCTGAATGTGCTCAAGTTAAATATAAATTGTGGGCTCGCTGTACCTTTTCCTCTGAGGAGCTCAAGGTGGTCCCACCACCCCATTATATCCTCACAACAGCCCTGTAAGGTAGGTCGGGAGATGGCTGCTGGCCCCAAAGGTCACCCAGTGAACTTCACGGCTCAGTGTGGATTTGAACCACACACACTCAGCCATGAGGCTTGGAGCTAGTCCTTGGGAGAGCCAGCATGGGACAGCGGTTAGTGTCGGACTAGGACCTGGGAGAGACCAGGGTTCGAATCCCTGCTCTGCCATGAGGCTCACCGGGTGACCTTGAGGGTCAGAAGCTGCCACTCAGCCTGGCCTACCCCACAGGGTGGTTGCTGTGGCCAGAAAGCTGTCTGCGGACGAACGCCGGCTCCCTCGGCCTGAAAAGTGAGATGAGCGCTGCGCCCCACAGTCACCTTTGGCTGGACTTAACCCTCCTGGGGGTCCTTTACCGTTTATGTTACCTGTGGGGATCAAAGGAGGAGCAGGGGAGAACCATGTACACCAACCTTCAGGGGGAAAAGCAAGGCACAAATGCCATACATACATACATACATACATAAACAAATAAATAAATAAATAAATAAATGGATGGCTGGCAACACCTGGTGCAAAGGGTTTGAATTCCTGTTGCCGTCCTCCTTGAGGGCTTTTATTTAGAAGAGATATTTACTTAGCTTTTATCTATTTTATTTAGAATGGGTGGAATGGCCAAAACCTGGCCCAAAGGGGGGGGGGGCACGAGTCACTTCGACGTTTGTGTATGTGTACGTTTGTGAAATGACTTTTCTCTGACATTTTGGGTCTTAAATGGGGGGGGGGAGGAGAGAGGAAGCCCTTTAACAGCGAGGGGAGGGGAGAGAGGGGAGATTCGACCCTGCCTGCAAATTGGGGGGAGGGGGCTACCTCACAGGGTCGCTGTTGTGGTGTAGCCTTATTGCAACGCAACGCAATTCACTGTATTGGGCTTGAAAGACGCCCTTCTTTTGCTACCTGAGGAAAGCCAAAATTTATTCGCCTTTCTGTGGATGGAGCCAGAGACCGGGACTAAAACACAGTACACGTGGACACGACTCCCACAAGGGTTTAAAAACCCGCCCGCACTTCTCGGGGTGGCTTCAGCCGCTGACCTAGCCAGCTTCCCCACCTCCCCCGACCGCGTTCTTCTTCGGTATGTAGATGACCCTCTAATTGCATGCAAAGATGATGACACGTGTCTGCAAGAGACCAAAGACCTCCTGAATCACCTGGCGGCAGCTGGCTACCGGGTCTCTACGGCCAAGGTCCAAATCTGCCAGCCAAATTGTCAAGTACCTTGGATTTGACATGTCCCACCAGCAGCGTAATTTAATAATGGGGGCCGAATGGAGAAAACCGCGTATGACTCCTCACGGAGCTCAAAAGGCGGGACAGGAACGTAACGAACAGATGAGGGGGGGGGAGGGGAAACTGAGGTGGGGGTTTCCCCTCATACAATTGTGAGGGGTGGGATCAATGCCACCTCTTTCCCCCTCCCCCCGCCATTTCTCACGCTCACCTCATCCACTTCTAGCTCCTCCAGCGCGGGCACCTCCAGCGTGGGCATAGCTGCGAGCGAGCTGTCCCGGCGTATCCCGACCAGGTCTCTCCCCTTGGACTCTCCTTCGCCACCGGTCCTCACGAACCAGGCCGGACGCTAAGGCAGAAACTGCGCATGCGCCTTCTCGCCGTCCAAGAGCACGTTATATCTGAGATACGCGCATGCGCCTAACTCCCGCCACCTCCTTCCCCGTCACCGCCACTCACTCCGTCTATGTATGTATGCGAACACGAGGAGGATTTGGGCATGCGCATTTAGAGGAGGGACCCAGGGGGCGTCTTCTCGCTCCTCCCCCCCGCCCGCCCGGCTGGCGGCTCGTTGCTGTGGCAACCGCAGTTTGCCGGGGCCTGCGCTCCAACAGCCGGGCCGGGCCTACCTGGGCGCGGGTGGCCGGGCATGGAGTACACCGGCAGCTACTACCGAGGGGAGCGCGTCAACGGCAGGTCGGGAGGGAGGCAGAGCGGGCGGGCGAGTAATGACTCCCGTGTTGGGGGTGGGGGGGAAACACTACGTGTGAAGGGTTTTTTCGCGTGTCGTGCTAAAGTACTATTAGCGAACGGTTTTTCCTGTGTGTTAAAAAAAACCCAACAACTACATCTGAACGGTTTCCCCACCTGTTTGTTTTAAAAACAACAACAAGTGGACGGTTTTTTCCTTGTCTCCGTGTTAATAACAACAACGTGTGAGCGGACCCCCCCACCTCCATAACCATGTTAAAAAAAACTATGTCTGAACGGGTTTCCCGTGTCTCTTAAGCAAAATACCTTACGTGAATGAGCCCCCCTCCTGTGTGCTAATCAAAGTATTACATACATGTAAACGGTTTCATCCTGTTTTTTAAAATGCCATGTGAGAACGATATCCAGTATTGGTCATTCTCGGAGTAGACCCATTGATATCCATGCATTTCCATGGATAGTTTTCTGAGTATGACTAATACTAGATTTCACTATAAAAATGGCAATGCTTTTAACGACATCAGTGGGTCTACTCTGAGTAGGAGTGAGTTAGATATCACCCAATATTATTTATTCTCCTGTGACAGTTGGTTTCAGCTGCTCAGACTTGCTGCTGCTGCTACTTTTATTTTTTATTTACTGTTTTATGATTCTCTCCCCCACACTTTTTTTTAAAAAAAAGCTGAAAAACACTCTGGATGTTTTGATAGAAAAGTGGTGCAGAATGAACAATCTTATTACCACCACCCCCCTTAGGTGTGCATGTTGGGACTCATAAACAGTCTGACCCCTTAGTTGGTTGTGTTAAATTGTATTCTCCCTGTGGACTTTTCTGCAGGTTGGAGGGCAAGGGCTCTTACACCCTCCCAACAGAAACGAAGTATGTAGGCGAAATGAAAGACGGGATGTTTCACGGCAAAGGTGTTTTGCACTTCCCTGGAGGAAGCAAATATGAAGGGACTTGGGAAAATGGAATATCCATAGAGGTATACAGCACATACATGTACACATCTGAAGCACTCTTCCCTCTTGTGGTGCCCCTCAGCCACCACCAGAGGAGCCAACTCCTACGGGCCGAGGTCCCTTCACCTCCCCCCCCCAAAAAAATACTGGAGCCTCCCCCCCAATCGATGGGCATTTCCATTCAAATGGTATGCATGTGCCACATCATGTGATCAGTTATGTGGGACAGGACTTACCAGCATCCATTTGCTGGTTTGTTTTAATTTGCTGTTTTATTATGCTATTTCAAGCTCCTTTTTCTATTATTTTTTATTGCCTTCCCCTCAGCCTAAGGCCCAGGGGTAGGCACTAAAAGAAATACTAAAAGCAATTTAAAACAACTTCCAATCAATCTTTTTTTCATTTTAAACATAATTTTTATTAACAGGCCAATCAAATCACATTATTTCCAAATCACATTAGTTCCAAATTATACAGCCAGATTTTTAAATTTTGTTGGGGGTACCCATACTTCAAGCTCCGAACAGGGGTCCAAGCATCACTTCTATTGCTGCTTTAATTAAATAGTTCTATCCAGTTCTGTCCAGATAGTCTCTTTATTACTTTCTTCATCTTCTTGTTGTTATCATATATTCGTTTCTTTGTGATCTCTGATAATCTTCGCAAGCGGGTTGAAAACAAACATCCTAACTTCTAATCAATCTGATCTGATCCAGGAGGTATACTCTAACATTCCTAGGTACCTCTATCAGCACCCCATTACCCTTGAGAGCAAAACAGAGTCTCCATGTTCTCTGGTGTGTTCATAGACCATCCGCTGTTTGTGGGCTTCCCTGTGGCATCTGGTTGATCACTGTGGGGAAGCAACATGCTCTGTTCTTTATCCAACTGAGCTGTCCTAAACCCCAAACTTTTCATTGCAGGGGAAATATACTTTTGCAGATGGACTGGAGTATGAAGACAACAAATGGCATTATTGTGATGGCTATGACAGAAGGTTTTATACAGAAATCTGCAGAGGCCTGAAGCCAGCAGGTACTGCCTTGTTTAAGCTTTTCGATGTAACAGACCAACTGCATTAATTGAGAGGGACTACTTTCTAAGACTCCTGCCAACCTAGCAGTTCGAAAGCACGTCAACGTGCAAGTAGATAAATAGGTACCGCTCCAGCGAGAAGGTAAACGGCGTTTCTGTGCGCTGCTCTGGTTCGCCAGAAGCGGCTTAGTCATGCTGCCCACATGACCCGTAAGCTGTATGCTGGCTCCCTCGGCCAATAAAGTGAGATGAGCGCCGCAACCCCAGAGTCGGGCACGACTGCACCTAATGGTCAGGGGTCCCTTTACCTTTTTACTTTCTAAGAAAAAGAAGCCTCAATAGGTGGCCCTTGGGCCACTTCAGACCCACCGCCCCAACCTGCTGGGGTTGGCAGCAGCTAACCAAATAAATAGCTTCTGCTTCCTTCCTCTTCGTTGCTATTTGCTCCCATACCTGGTTCCATTGCCCACGTTGGTTGCTGTCACTACTGCTGTGTTTTCATTGGCTATTGTGCCCTGATCCCACAGACCTGATGCCTAGGTGGGATGCAGAGGGCTTTTCTTCAGTATTAAAATGAATGCATAGCCTTTGCTCACAAGGCATGTACATGGGAGTCCCTTGAAGCTTTGGATCAAGATGATATCATATCCCCCAATATAAGTGATTATTTATTGGCTATTCTCCTTAAAGACCTGGATATTTTAAGTGACTTCTTCATATGCTGATATCAGCCTGTTTTCAATTTTAAGGCATTTCCCAGCTTACAAACCTGGATCCTCCTCGGGTCATCCCAGCAGGCTGCTATGACTGTGGTGACGGCTTCTATAACCCCAAAACCAGAGTGGTTGTTGATTACCACCACCGGTTTCTGAGGAATGCAGGTATGGCTTTGTCAATCAGATCAGCAATACAATATTTGTGTGCTTGCTATGTACATCTAATGGTCTAGTTATTGAATCCTAAACCTTCACCATCATATGCAATTTCAGTTACAAGGATTCAGGACTTGCAACAAAGATGTCAGCTATGGAAATAGGGGGGGGGTGACCTTGGGAGCATGCAATATATAATTTGGGGTTCAATTATTTCTTTCTTAGAAATTCAGAGGAAATTGCAAAATAGAATTCTGCCATTTTATGAACAGATCATGTGTGCAGGAATATCAGACTCAGTGAAAGGCAAGGCTGGCCCAAAGCATTTTGGCACCTGATGCAAACCCCCCACCAGGGAAGAAGGGGTGAGTGAGGATCTGCATCAGGAACAAGGCGATCAACCTTATCTGGCGGTTGAGATGGGAATCACAGGCTGTTGCAGGGCAGAAAGGGGCCTGCTCAGAATCATGCTTGGCAGGTGCAAAGTCCAGGAGACCTCAGAGGGCAGCTCCCACCATTTCTTTCCTAGGGGTGGGAGGAGACCAACAGTGCCTCCTATTCACTGGGCTGCTGCAGAGGCAGCATTGAAGACGGGTGTGCTGCTAAGGAGATGGCAGATCCGGCCTGCAAGGAGTGTGTGGTAGCAGGTGATGTGTTCCTTGAAGGCCGGATCTGCTGCACCAAGGGTGTTGCCTCACCTTGCCTCGTGGGTGAGCTGGCCCTGGTGGAAGGCACGTACAAGAACAAACTGAATTTGAGAAACTAATAATGAAATATAAAAGGCATATAAAAGCAAAAAAACTAATCAGTTAAATTTGATATAGAGTAAAGAGCAGGTAAAGGAACATATGGTTCGTTGGACGTTTGAGCACATGGATTTTAAGACAGCCGGCTCTACATCTCTTCTTGTTAGACCAATGTGTCTTAGGTTGCACTCTACTTTACAGCTTTCTGCTGCTCCTCACACTTCTTTCTTGAACTTCAAGATAAGAGGTCAGGCTGGAACTACAAAGACATGGCAGTCATGTCTTCCTGTAGTCTAGTTGGTTAGGGAAGGGGAGGGAATTAGAAGTAAAAAATTATTGAAATTTTAGGATATGAAATGCCCCAAAACAAGGAATTTGTTTTGTATATGTTAACAGCATATACAGTAATTTATGCAAAGAAGTGAAGACAATCATCTATACCCCCCAGTAATTGATTGGCATGAAAAAGTCTGGGAATATGCTCTTATGGCAAAATTGGCTTGTTATCTAAGGAGTGAGCAAGCACAAATACAATATTTATTTATGAAGAAACAGATAAGCTTCATTCAGTATTGCCAATCTAGAGGATGCATCCCTAATACATTATTTTGTAAGTCTCTTTGGGTTACCACTTATAAAGAAAACAACTAATAAGAGCAATAAATTAATAAATAATAAGTAATGTATGCTATAGTTTTTCAAACTCCTGTTCAATGTTATGGCTGAGTTTGAATTAATAATTTGGAGAGTGAGTAAAGGATTGTTTTTCTGATAAGGCTGAGAATAAGAATACTGTTAAATTTTCCAAATAAGGCATAATGGTAGTACAGGGTAAAAAAAAAAAAAGTTGTATACAGTATTAATATATTTAGGATTTCCTGCTATCTTTCAGTTCCTTTTGAATTAGGGAACAAAACCAAGGTCTACAGTTTTAAAACACCCACACCCCTACACCCCCATAGTTTAACCATTCTGACATTTTGTCAAGCTGTAGTTTGCCACAAACCAGGAAACACTCATGGCAGGATTTTATTTTTTAACTTTTGCATCTTGCCCCTCACCAGTTTCTTAAAGGTAAAGGTAAAGGGACCCCTGATAATTAAGTCCAGTCGGGGTTGCGGCGCTCATCTCACTTTACAAGTTGAGGGAGCTGGTGTTTGACCGCTTCTGCAGACAGTTTTTCCGGGTCATGTGGTCAGCATGACTAAGCTGCTTCTGGCGCAACGGAACACTGAAACCAGAGCAGCGCATGGAAATGCCGTTTACCTTCCTGCTGGAGCGGTACCTATTTATCTACTTGCACTTTGATGTGCTTTCAAACTGCTAGGTTGGCAGGAGACCAGTTGCTTAGGAAACCGTATAAGGGGTCCCCATAATTTTCTCAACAGCCTCCCACCCGCTAGGCTTGTCTTAAAGGGTTTCCCTCAATTAGCTTCATGGCTAAGCAAAGGTTTGAGCCTGGGTCTCTACTCACTACACCACACGGCTCTTAGTGTAAGGTTACCAGACCTCCCCGTTTCCTGGGGACACTCCCCGGATTTACAAATCAGTCCCCATACAAAATCCTATCATTCCTATTGAGGTTGAAAAGTGTCCCCGGATTCATTGAAAAAAATCTGGTAACCTTATCTTAGTGGCCTTCGTAGTGGGTGAGGCAGGGAGCAGGGAATAAGTGTGGAGTTTGTGGCGTAATCTCTACTTCCAGCCGCTAAGCACGAGCAGATCTAAATGGCTCCTGGTGGCACTAGCCCAAAATACTGGAATGCGGTGGCTCTGCTGATGCATATGATAAGCACACGCTTTCCAAAAACACAGGAACCTAGACAGATCAACCCAGGCGGGAACGCCTAGGAATTCCTTTTTTTTTTTTAATCTCCGCTTTGAACTCTCCTTTGTTACACTTTATTACTATAAACTTACAACAGTATCAGCCCCGATTAAATGGCCCATTGTATATGTCCCGTTTTGCAAAGCAATTGTCTGCCGAGTGTCCAGGAGGGCCCCCAGGCTCTTTTTGCTTTGAGGACATGGGTGTGAAGATGGGATGCAGCTCAGGAGTCCATCCCTTCCTTTAAGGGCACCAACACAATTGAAAGAGCCAGGGCTTGCCTGACATCAGAGGAACTCCAGTAGCCCCAAGAGAAGTCGTTCAAGGCTCAAGGCCACAGAGGTGACAAAATAGGCGGGTAAATAGCCAGGCTGTGTGCGAAAGAAGCCAAGGAAGTGGTCGGGAGCGAGAGGGAACAGATCCAGGACTGCTTCTTTACAGGAAAGGCAGGAAAACCCCGTCAGGCTGCTGGCCAGGTCTTGGAAGCATCAAAAGCAGATGGCAGGAAACATTCAGAAACCTTTGGCAAAACCCTGGTGGGCTTGCTTAAATTATGCCGTTTTCCTAAAGAGCTGGGCTCGAGATCAGCTTTTTCTTAGCCTCATGCTTTCTTCCTCTTTCCTCTGCCAATTTGAGATCACAAACGTTGGGATAGGAGACCCTGCAAAGGTGAGAAGTGAGATTCTAAAGAGGGGAAAACAAGTCCTGAATGGGTCTTCACTGCTGCTCAGTACCATCATATATAAGTAGATAGATGGGTTTCATTATTTGCTATATTTTCATTCTGCTTTTCAATCCATTATTGTCTCCCAAAGCAGGTCACATTACTAAAACAAAGGCAGGGAGAAGGGAAAGACAGGCCCTGCCATAAGGCTTACAAACCAGAAAAACAAGAAAAGGCAAATAGAGAGGAGCAGGAAGCAGTTTCCCTATAGCTGCTTCTTTGGCTGATTGGCAAGGCCAGGCTTTGCTCCATTCCTTGATGTTTTTCCTGGGCGGCAGCATATGCAGCCTCCCAGTGGCCTTAGGTCCCTTTGCGAATGGCAGAAGCCAGAGTGTGATAGATACTTTGAGGTCACAGAATGTTCGCAAATGTTCTAACAGCTGGGGAAGAACGTTCAATATTTTGACTGCTCACCAAGCAATGCAGCTCAGCTCCGACGAGAGCCGGAGGAGGTTTGTTAGGTCTGGATGAAAAACAAAGTTGCAGAGGAATTCAGGACAGAAGGATCTGGGTATTGGTGTCAGGAAGGAGGGCAGAGTCAGAAAATTGAGAGGTTGTTTGCTTGTTGGTAACAACAGCTAAGTGGCAATGCAGAACATGCTGGGATAGTGGCTGAGGAAGCCTTGTGCTTGAGAAACGGGAGCCTGTGAAGGTGATAGGTGGAAGAATCAGAGGCTGAGGTAAACAGGCTTTTTGGAGTGAGGAGTGTATGAGAATCTTGGAGCCTGCATACCTGAAAGGCTGAAAGGAGTATGGGAAGCTGCCTCGTACACGGTCAGACCACCGGTCCATCTATTCCTAACTGACTAGAAGCTGATTTCCAAGGTGTCCAGGAGGTCACATTCCCAGCCCTACCTGAAGAGTAGCTGGGGGCTGAACCTGGGACCTTCCCCAGGCAAAGCCTCAGCTTAAATATGACCCTTCTTGTAAAAAGAGCATTTGCTGTTGCAATGGCTCCAACCAAGGTCATGTGTGAGTGTCCTTCTATCATACTACTTTCTCTCACCCTCCCATGTTGGTCCAGTTTGCACGTAACCGCAAACTGTACACCACAGGCCCTTCATTTCAGTCCCACGAAGGCTGAGCCACTGTTCCTGCCTTTCCTGCACTGGCACGTTTCTCCCCTCCCTCCAGCGGCTCCTGAGAGCACACCTGTGCCTTTAGAAAGCAGAGCGTGCGAAGTGGCCCTTGAAACACAGGACAATTTAGTCATTTATATGCCAGTTGCCTTTTTTCTTCATTGCTGTTCCAAATTCAGAGGAGGTCCGACTCCTACAAATGTGAACTCCTTTGACAGCTCTCCAGGAATGAAAAAAAGGAATGCATTAAAAAACAAAAAAAAAATATGGTTATTTAGACACTTTGCAAATGAAATACACTGGGTTTTTGATCAATCACCTCAAGTTCTTCACTGCTTATTTTTATTTGATTTTTTTAAAAAAAATATATGCTATACTATAACTCTTACTTGCTTTTGTATATATAATCATTGTGAATTACAAGCCGTGTGAAAGATTTTAGCTCTGGGGCATTTGCCAGATGGTTGATTTTGCTTTTTTTTTCACATGACAAAAGACATAATGTTTGTGGCAGGCCCTGAGAAATTGTTGGTAATCAGTGTATTCTTCAAAGGAACGGGCGCCAGACCTGTTTGCAAGAATGTTCAGCTTTTGCAGAAATTAATTGTGAGCACTTTTAGTCTCTGCTCCTG